GAAAGCCTACGGACTCGCCGCTCGTTAAAACAAGGCCGTAAAAAAGGGTAGGATGTCCCGAGAGAGAGATTAGATTAGATTAGTTCGTTTATTGCACCAATGAGGTAGAACCCCGTCTGGCAGTTTAGAAAATGTACAAATCAAACAATAACAAAATTTTAAAATGACAAAAGAAGAGATGCAAGAAAAAATAGTAACGCATTTAACTATTTAAAGAAGATGAATTAGGTGAAAATGCGTGAGTCTTATGTACAGTGAGCAGCGAATGTACAATGGCAATAACAGTAAGAAGACTAAGAATGTGTATGTAAAATGAAAATAGAATAAAATATGTAAAATATAGTAAAATAAAAATATATAAAGAACAATATAATTAAAATAACAGATTAAACAACAAAAATAACAATAATAACAGATGAAAAATAATATAAATAATAAAGACGATAAAAGTAATAAAAATAATAAAAATAATAAGAACAATAAAAATAATAAAAGTAGTACAAAATAATAAAAATAGTAAAAGTAATGAAAGCGCGAAGGCATCTATTTTACAGAAAAACGGTCTGAAAGGAGGAAAGATATAAAAGTGGAGCGACGTACATTCGGCTAAAAAACACCCATGTTTAATTAGCTATTTCATGAACCAAAGGTCGATAGAGGGGTATTTGTGGGAGGATGGATAATTTTGGGAGAACGCGACTGGATTGACCTTGTTTGGTATGCGAGTGTAATCAGACAGTGCTGGTACTGGCATTAATTTTTCGTGAATCGCCCTCTCTCCATGCTCTAGTCTCATAATTTAAAAATAGATCACATGTCCAATCCTTGAAGTCAGAGATCCGATCCGTGGAGAACAGGGTCACACTCAATGAGTTGAATATTCTCTGAGCAAGGATCACACAAGAATGGTTCCAGGCCTCAGTTCAAGGAGCCTTTTATTCAAACGTAGACGGTGGATGGCGACCCGAGAGCCGGATAATGACACTATCAAGCAGGACAGACAGGTTTTTAGCTAGATACTGTGGCGATTTTCTGGACACAACAGAGTAGGCCAGAACGGCGAGGGCTCTATACCTATTTGGGGTAAGGGATAGCCAGCCTAGGGCTAATCATTGGTGGGTGATGTGGCTGTTTAGGGATAGAGTAGGTATATAAGGGATCCATCCTATTACGAAGCGTACGCAGACGTTTTGGGCAACTTGAAGCGTAGAAGAGCGTTCTCCATCAAGCTGAATACAGACCACTGAAAGGTAATCGAAATGTGGGAAAATGAGCTACTCGACAAGAACTTTTCTGAGGGTAGTCGAGAGAGATTTCCTGTGGAAGCGGAGTGAAGCCAGAGAGCCGTATAACCTCCTCGTCATGCTTCTAACATGTTCGGACCAATTTAGCGTGGGAGTAAGTGTCACACCCAGGTTGCGAGCACTGGTAACATAGTCGAGTGGAACCTCGTTAATGGTGATCTTCACGATGTCGTTCAAGTTGATAGCCCTAACGTACTGTTCGCTGCCTAGTATCATGACCTTGGTCTTGGTGAGGTTAACCCTTTGCGGCATACATTTTTCAGAGAAACCAGTTTTCGTATAAATTGGTATACAAGGGTTTTTGGGATCGCAGATCACGATTCTGAACTCAGAATTTCAAAATTTAAAATGGCGGATCCAAGATGGCGGCAAAAATTTGGGTTATTTTCTTTTATTTTATTGAAAATTGGTATACAAAGGTTTTTGAGATCGTTGATCACGATTCTGAACTCAGATTTTCGAAGTTCAAAATAGCGGATCCAAGATTGCGGCAAAAATTTGGTGTATATTTTTTATTTTATTGAAAGTTGGTATACAAGGGTTTTTGCGGTCGCTAATTATGAATCTAAACTCAAATTTCCGAAATTCGTAATAACGAATCCAAGACGACAGCAAATATTGATATTTCAGAATTTCTTCTGAAAATGTGCATGTAGAGGTTTTCGGGATAGGTGATCATATTTCTTCGAAAATTTCCTTTCTTTCTGCGGAAAGTTCTGAAATTCCATATTTTTAAAAGTCAACTCCTTCCATCAATAGAGGCTGTAACAAACCGTCATCTGTTCAAATGTTGTAATTTCTGTATGCTGGTACTCCATTAGATCCAATGCAAATTCAGTAAATCAGAGGATAAATCATTACCAAACTTACTTGACTTCAATAATCGTGAAATTATATACGTATACATAAGAGTAAAAATATAGCAAGTGTTAAAAATTCTTTCAGTTATATAGCACATCGAACATTTCAAGTCATCTATTGGAGACCGATGAAAAAACAATTTTAGAGCGATAAAATAGATTCGTACGGATCATTGTAGTATAATACACTAAAATCTGTTGTGAGTTGCAATTTTCGTAAGAGCTTGTACCGATCCTGTAGCATTAAAAATTTTTTTTATCAAGTAGTCGAGTTTTTTTATAATTACAAATATTAACGTATCTCATACAAAATGGAAATCGCTGATATTCCTAGCGACACGGAGTCAGTAGATGGACTTGTTGATTCAGACCAAGAGGAGGATGATATAAATGTAGAAACCGAAGATCAGCTTGAAGAGAATGAAGGTGACAGCAATTCAGATGAAGATCAAGGAGAACGCTCTGGCAATGAAGTATGGAAGAAAAAAAGAAAAAATAGAGATGATCAATTCACTGCTGATTTCGGACCAAATATCCTCGAAAACGTAAAATCTCCACTAGATATTTTTTTGTGTCTTTTTCCTGACGACATGCTGGATTTACTAGTTCAGCAAACAAATAAATATACACAGGAGAAAACTCAGGAAAAGCAATTAATCAAAAAAGAAGAGTAACTGATTTTTCTAGGAATTAATATTCTGATGGGAATAAAAAAACTGCCTTCTTATCGCGACTATTGGTCGAGTGACCCAAAGTTGAAGGATTCATATATAAGCTCGCTAATGCCGGTTGTTCGTTTCGAATTCATATTAGGTAATTTGCATATATCCGACAACAGCACAGAACCTAAAAAAGGTGAGCCTAATTATGATAAATTGTATGAATTGAGACCATTGCTGGATAGACTTCAAGAAACATTCAAAACTTGCTGGAAACCAAGCAAATATCAATCTATCGATGAATCCATGATAAAATTCGAAGGTCGAAGTAGCCTGAAGCAATACTTGCCAGCAAAACCAATAAAACGAGGATATAAATGTTGGGTTCGTGCGGATGAGTCCAGTTACGTATGTGAATTTCAAGTTTATACTGGCAAAACCGAAAGTTCTGAGAAACAGTTAGGAGCACGAGTTGTCAAAGATTTGACGCGTGAACTTGTTGGTAAAAATCACCATGTGTACTTTGATAATTTCTTCACTGGTGTCGATCTATTAATTTCGCTGAAAGAAGACAAAATATTTGCTTGCGGAACTGTACGTTCCAATCGTACTGGGTTACCTAAATTTGTAATGCTTGACAAACAAATGAAACATGGACAATGCGATTTTCGAACGTCTGATACTGGTATTACATGGATAAAATGGATGGATAAGAAAGGTGTTTGTTTCCTGTCAAATTACCATGATCCATCCAAAGTGACAACAGTAAATCGAACACAGAAAGATGGCACACGAGTGCAGGTAGATTGTCCAGTTATGTGCTCTGATTACAACAAATACATGGGATTTGTCGATAACGCTGATCGTTTGTTATCTACATATAAAATAGATCGAAAGTCCAAAAAGTGGTGGCACAAATTATTCTGGCATTTCATTGATCTAACTATTACAAATTCATTCATCATATTTTCAAAAATAAACGCTGATAATCCTATAACATTGAAGAAGTTCAGACTACTTTTAGTGGATCGATTGGTTTCTCACAAAATTCCAACTAAAAAAGGAAGAAAGCGACAACCTACACAAACCAATCTTCAGAAACCACAAGTTTCTGTTGAAAAAAGACGCTCTCTATCTGCTCATATGCCAACACCCATTGATAATTATAGGAGATGCGCTCACTGCAGTACAAAAACAAAAGATGTGCGAACTAAATGGTCATGTAGTACGTGCAACGTACCATTATGTTTACAAGTAGACAGAAATTGCTTTTTGAAGTATCATTCATGAAAGATTGAAATGAATTAGAAAGCTAAGATATTTAAAAAATTGTAGGTGAGAAGATAAAAATATAAAAGTGAAAAAAAAAAACAAAACAAAAAATAAAAATACAAAAAAAAATCAATCTGATATTGGATTCACCATTTGAAATTTCGAAATTCTAGATTCAGAATCGTGATTAGCGATCCCAAAAACTCCTTTGTATAAATTTTTGTAAAATTATAACTGAAAGTTTCTTCAATAATGAATTTTGTTTATAAATAGGGCTGTTTTTTCGTCTTTGTTTAACAATATTAACAAATTAATAAAAGTTGTGGCACCAATTGACGTAAATTTCAATTGTATATCATCCTATAATCGTAAAACAACAAAAAACTCAGGGTAAATTCATCAAAAACTATTCTAAATTTGCAAAAAATGCTATGAAAAAAGGTGGGAATACGTATTCCTACTGTGCCGCAAAGGGTTAAGAGAGATACCGTTTCTTAGGGCCCAGTCCGCTATAGCCTGCACATCAAGCTGCACCTTCTCCAAAGCCTCCGCAAGGCTGCCGGGATGACAGTGAATGTAGACCTGCGTGTCGTCAGCATAAAGCATGTAATTCATGAAGGAGATAACAGAGGGCAGGTCCGAGGTATAACGACGTAAAGACGCACGGTGAAACGATACGAACGGACGAACACAGACAGAACCCCCCAGTCAGAAGTAATATCAACATAGTCCCTGGCTGGGACAACAAGGAGATGGCGGTTTAGTGGGTAGGCCTGTCTTTTTTTTTGGGGAGTCCCACATACCCCCTTAGATATCAAGACTAAGGGGAATCCGCAAAAAGGATTCCGCAACTCCTTGTAAAAAAAAAAAAAAATAATAATAATAATAATAATAATAAAACTTACTTGTCGAACAACCGCAATCATTTGAGTTAATTGGGCAACGTGTGGTGTGTTGTAGCTTGCGCACCTGAGCGACTGAAAATAAATAAATAAATATTCAAATATTAAATATTAAATAATATAAAAAAAGCTTACAGTGTTTAAAAGAACTATGAGCAGCCGATACAGCAGCTCATGCGGGATAGCATTCGTATTCAGTAAATTATTCAATAAAGATCATTAAATTTATATATATATATATATATATATATAATATTTTTAATTTTTAGAAACGTTCACTTACAGTTTCTAGAAACTGACAGGTGCTCACTACATTCTCCATTTTCACTATTTTAAATAACTCTTTAACCTTTTAAGGACAGGACTGGTCGATATATCGACCACCAATTTTGTCAGGCACTCCACGTGACATATTCTTTCATTTTATGCACAAATATTGTGCAAAAAAAAACTCAAATTTTAACGTAAAAATCCCCGTCCTTAAAAGGTTAAACACTAACAAAAAAAATTTTTTTTACACAAGTACTAATTTAAAAAAAACTAATCACCAATTTCATAATTCACTATGAACAGCTCGAAGTTTCCCTTGAGACTGACCATCGAAAATCCTACCGAACGCTCGCAATATTATCAGGTAAGATGTTTTTTACAATATGAGTAACGCTACAGACATACGTAGACATTCTTTGAGTGAGATAGGACGTTTGCATTTCCTCTAAAACTACACTACCGTCCATAAAGATTTGCCATCCCCTTGCTGAAATCATCAAAACTTTAGAGTTTTATGGCTCAGTTTCTATAAGAGCTAGAAAATCCTGCGGGGTTTCATTTTTGCCAAGACCTTTCAAATGTTGTAAAACATAATTGATTTTATTTGTTTTTTGTACCACTTGTGACGTCATAAACAAATTGTTTTTTTTTAATTTTTTCACATCAACTTCGACCCCGATTTATTTATATAACGGATTTTACGATGGAAAAACGTTTAAGCCATTTGATAGAGCTTTCAAAAACTTAAGAAATCCATATCCGGAAAATTTTTTTACCTTTATTTTTTATGAGCTATATGGTGTTTTATACAAAAACAAAGATTTTCAAAAAATGGGCTGTATTTTTTTTATTTTCAACTCTAAAGAAAAAACTCTTAGAAGAAAAAATGTAGTATTTTACAAGAGCTATCAAATGCGCCACTCAGAATTTAAAAAAAAAAAATTTTTTTTTTTACGTTTCTTAGAATTGAAATTTTTCTGGAAAAAAAACTGAAATTACATATATTTAATAAAATTAGTAAGTATTTAGTATTAATAACTAAATGGGCTTACAAACAATGATAACAAGATACATTTATTGTATTCGACGTTTGTAACAGAGGAATTTGCATTGTTTTCATTTTTAATGACTTTCTACAGTATTGTGCTCACCGTTTATCACTGTGATAATCACTGAGTGTTTACGTGGTTTGATTTACTTGACTTTCATGAATGTACGAGTATACACTTCCGCCCAATAATCTTTGCCCACCTGAGAACAAAACGACTATAACTTTGAAACTCCATGTCTCGGCTGGAAATACACCTACAGAGCTCTGCGGGGGCTCATTTGAAAGGGTTTTTCGAGCACTTTTCAATGGTGTATATTAAAATCATGCTTAGATATTTCCCTTGCAGATAGGGCGGCGAATATCAAAACAAAAATTACGAAATTTTTGCTTTTTCTTTAACCGCTAGCCATTTTGAGAAAAAAAATTCTAAAAAAATTCTAAACATAGCATTTTTAAGCTCTTTTTCTGCACTATCCAAAACACTCATTCAAAAATAATTTTCGTCTAAATTCAGCGATTATATGAGCATTTCATTCAAAAACAGCATCTATATTCATTGCTCTGTATCTCGGAAAATTCGAATTGTAGAAAAAAATTTTCTTGGAAGAAAATGTTCTATTTTGTAAGTGGAATACGTGAACGAAATTTCATAATCATATGAAAACATTTTTTTTCAGTCGTAATATCAAGTAGTCTAATTTTTTCAATATTTCACTTTGGAATAATAAAACAGATCATTTATACTCGAAGCTATTCTATTAATTGTAGACAAATTTTAATTGTATGCAAATCTCGATCAACGAAAAATCTAAGTAGAAAAATTAATCTAATCTACCAAAACTGACATAACTAATGATTAGTGAAAAAAAATTTTTTTTAATGTTGTTCTAATCTTCTAAAAAATTGTTTACAATAGTAACATATTATTGAAGTATGGCACCGAGAGATTTTAGTAAACGTTATCAAGATATTGGATTTCACATAAATGGTAAAAGCAATCGTTTCCGCGGTCTACCAGAGCGCTTCTTGTCTTCAAAATTGCCGCTACTTTTAAATTTATTTACATTGTAGTCTACGGTTCGACGAGGAATATTGAGAATACTAGCAATCTGACGATTGCTTTTACCATTTATGTGAAATCCAATAACTTGATAACGTTTATTATAATCTCTCGGTGCCATACTTCAATAATATGTTACTATGGTAAACAATTTTTTAGAAGATTAGAACAACATTAAAAAAAAATTTTTTTCACTAATCATTAGTTATGTCAGTTTTGGTAGATTAGATTAATTTTTCTACTTAGATTTTTCGTTGATCGAGATTTGCATACAATTAAAATTTGTCTACAATTAATAGAATAGCTTCGAGTATAAATGATCTGTTTTATTATTCCAAAGTGAAATATTGAAAAAATTAGACTACTTGATATTACGACTGAAAAAAAAATGTTTTCATATGATTATGAAATTTCGTTCACGTATTCCACTTACAAAATAGAACATTTTCTTCCAAGAAAATTTTTTTCTACAATTCGAATTTTCCGAGATACAGAGCAATGAATATAGATGCTGTTTTTGAATGAAATGCTCATATAATCGCTGAATTTAGACGAAAATTATTTTTGAATGAGTGTTTTGGATAGTGCAGAAAAAGAGCTTAAAAATGCTATGTTTAGAATTTTTCTACGATTTTTTTTCTCAAAATGGCTAGCGGTTAAAGAAAAAGCAAAAATTTCGTAATTTTTGTTTTGATATTCGCCGCCCTATCTGCAAGGAAAATATCTAAGCATGATTTTAATATACACCATTGAAAAGTGCTCGAAAAACCCTTTCAAATGAGCCCCTGCAGAGCTCTGTAGGTGTATTTCCAGCCGAGACATGGAGTTTCAAAGTTATAGTCGTTTTGTTCTCAGGTGGGCAAAGATTATTGGGCGGGAGTGTACATATAGCAGAGAATACGTATGGAAATTCAGTCTCTTATCAGGTTTAATGAGTGAAATATCAATGTGTCCAATCTAGTCAGTAAATTATGCATGTATTTTTTGTTCATTAAAAATGACGAAAAAAAGAAACTTAAGCATTGAAGAGCGATCTGAGATAGGAGCCTTGCATAAAGTGAATAAAAGTAATAATGAAATTTCCAAAATTTTGAATATTCCAAGAAGAACAGTTGATTATAACATTAAAAAATTCATAACTCAAGGAAATATCAAAAACAAAAAAATTTGAGGAAGGCCTAGGAAAACTACGAGCGCTACTGATAAACACATTTGTAGTACAAGTACACATAATCCAAGACTCACGGCACCCGAACTTGCTGTTGAAACTCAAAAAGCGTATGATGTTAAACTTAGTGTTACTACGATAAAGAGACGACTTCATGAAGATGGACTATACGGTCGAATAGCAATTACTAAAACCGATTAATAAAAAGAAACGATTGGCTTGGGCCAGAAAACATAAAATTTGGACCATTGATGATTGGAAAAAAGTTTTGTGGTCTGATGAGAGCAAATTCGAGGTTTTTGGTAGTAAACGCAGATGTTTTGTGCGGAGAAAAAATAAGCAAAAACATTTAGAGAAAAATATGTGTGCTTCGGTTAAACATGGTGGCGGCTCAGTAATGGTATGGGGTTGTTTTGGTAGTTCTAAGGTTGGTGACCTTCTTAAAATTGATGGCAAGTTGAAAAAAGAAGGTTACAAAAAAATTCTTGAAAAAAATGTTGTATCTTCCGGAACAAGAATAATTGGTCGCAAAGAGCCCTGCCGGGTAAGCATGTCAAAAATGCCCTTGAGGATATCGGATTCCGGACTGGAGGGACTTTTTTGTCATCAAAAGATATGACTTCTCTCAAATTTTCAGACCCCTAGGTGCATGTGGGGCAAGATGGGAAGGGGTAATATGGTTTTTGGTTTTCGAAACATATCTTGGTCAATTTTTGAGCTACGTAAAAATTTTTTTTTGGAAAATGTGTCGTTTTTTAAGTCCTACAAGACTGTCTAGTTGAAAAAATTTTTGGCGCGAAATTCAAATTTTGGCGGCCATTTTAAAATTTGAATTTGCCGCCATTTTGTCTGTTTTATAGGTGCATAGCTAAAAAAAATCTTACAATACTTCTTATGAACGAGAAAGTATGTGTGAATTTTTTTAGATTTTTAAAATTGGTGGAAGGAGGTCAAAAAAATTAAAAACCACATTTTCGATGATTTTTCGTACGTACGTGGCCCCTAAATATCCGTAAATTGTTTTCCAAGTAGTTTTCACGCTAAAATCTATTTCATTTGCCTCTTTCATACATTAATAAGCATATCCGTTTTTCAGAACAATTAACCAACGTGTTTTTCACGAATATTCTTCGAAAATAATAACCCACGTGACTGATAAATCATTGAAAAAATAGGTTAATTAATTAATATTTTAGAGAAAGGGTGGGCTAGCGTTATTCAAATAAATTCGAAGATTTTGGTTTCTTATAATAGTGGGAAATCACGTTTTTTTCATGTATCAACTCTACTTTTCATGTATCAATTCTAATCAATATTTTTCAAATCTAAAAGAACCGACATATTCGTTATGAAATAAGGGATGTTGCTAAAAAATGTTGCTAAAATAATAAATGGACTTTTTATGGTTTATAACTAATTTTCTGTTAAATTTTCGCCAATCTACTTTCGAGATTTGTGTTCAGTATGTTAAAGTACATAAAATAACTCTTGGATTGTAAATTTTTACCCCCATCGGCCAGCGCCTG